TCCTCGGGTTGACTCTCCTGCCCATCCAGACCCTCCACCGGCTGTTCTGTTGTGCGTAAGGTCGCTACGGGTCACAAATGACTGGATGGCACTAACACCACCACCCAGTCTCCTGCTGGTGGAGGTCTGGATCTAAGAGTCCAAAGGGCTGTGTCTCTGCCCCTCACTGGCTGTGCCCCCTGGGGCAAAGCCGCAAACCTCGGTGTGAAAAATGAGTCTCCTGTCCCTTAAGTTCCATTCCAACCGTGACTCCAGAGAAGGCTCGTGCCCTGTGACGCTGGCTCCTTTCATTCTTACCACTGGACAGGTCAAATCTCACTGGCCCAGAGCTGGGCGAGTCTGTCTTCAAGAGGACATTTCCAAGAAGACCCCCGGGGGTATCGTGCTGCCATGCCCAGGCTTGTCCTCCTCCCCGAGGCCTGAAGTTCTAGCCCCTTCGCCTCTGGCTCTTCCCTGGCCTCTGCTTTCCATGCGGTCCTCGTGGCTCGCAGGACAAGCCTCTCTCCCACAGCCCCCGCCCGCCCACCACACACCTGGTTGTAGGTGCAGTTCTTCTTTTTGCACTTGCTGCACTGGAAGAGGTCAGTGGTGGTGCCACCTGTCTTGGCCATCTGGTGTTCACGGATGGCCTCCTGGGTCATGGCGTTCCTCAGCTCCCGCAGCTCATCGCTGGCCATTTCCTAGGGAGAAATGCGTCTGTTGTGAGGGCCAGGAGCCCCCCATGGCCCCCCTCTACGCCCGGTTTCCAGAGAGCTTGAGCAGAGGAAGAGGGGACATGCTGGACTGAATACAAAGAGCTGGAGGAGGCCTGAACCCGTAGCCCCAGTCCCAGGTGGGAAAGGGCTGGACCCGCAGTTGCCTCGCCCCAGCTGGATCAAAGGTCAAACCGGGGGGCTTTGGCAGGGCCAAGTACAGGACACGAAGAGGCAGGCGCGCAGCAGGCCAGCAGCATCTTGTGTGAGTTTTCTCAATCCGCGTGCTCACCCTGCCTGCCAGGCCCTTGGCCACCTGCCTACATCGCGCTGCTTGAATGACTTGACCTGCGCCAAGAGTTGGGACCAGACCGAGTGTCTGTTTGGGCTCTCATCGCGGCTCAGCCCGTCCTGCCTAGTGGGAACCTTGGTCTCATTTCTTCTTTGGTCTTCCTTATTCAATGTCCAACTTCCATATGCATGTGAGGTGACTGAAAAAACCTTGGCTTTGGTCAGGTCCCCCTTAGTCCTCAAAGTATGCTCCCTGCTTTTCAACCCTCCCCAGAGTCATGTGCCGCAGACTACCCACTGCAGCGCAGCCTCTCGGCTCCTGACTGCTGCTTCCGTGAGCACTGACCGTGGGTCACGATGGACCACGTGGACCACGATGTTACCTATTGGTCCAGTTGGGAGGACTTGGGTCTTCTTTACACTGGGTTGTGATCCTTGTTCTTCCTGAGCCAGTCCTCCTCACTGTCAGCCAGCACACTGTCCTCTGCATATCCCAGGCTGTTAATAAGTCTTCCTCCCATCCTGATGCCCTATTCCTTTTTTCCATTCGAACAGGTCATGGCTTTAGTTTATGCCTGTTTTGCCCTTAAGTGGCCTTGGTGATGCCGTGGTCACATTCGTCACATAGTCCAGCTCCTCTGGTAATTTGCTCAGTAGACAGATCAAATAAGTATGGTGATAGGATACACCCATTGTTCTCAAGAAAACTCATGGTTTGTTATGACCTACACAGTTGAATACCTTGGCACAGTCAATGGAATACAAGTAAGCATCTTTCTGGTATTCTCTGATTGCAGCCAAGATCCATCTGACATCAGCAATGAGATCCCTTGTTCGTTATCCTCTTCTGAATCCGGCCTGAACCTCTGGCAGCTGTCAGGGTACCGCTATAACCATTGTTGAATGATCTTTGGCAAAAAATTACTTGAATTTGACATCAGTGATAATTGTTCTATAGTTTGAGCAATCTGTGGGGTCACCTTTCTTTGGAATGGGCACAAATATGGATCTCTTCCACTCAGTTGGCCAATTAGCTGCCTTCCAAACTTCCTGGTACCCTCAGGGGCCCCAGATTATGTTTCTTTGAAACAGTCTTTACGTTTGGGGAAAAAATGGGTCTGAAGGGGCAAGATCAAGGCTGAAGGGTTCATGGGATAAGGTTTCTCAATGGAATTCTCACAGGAGAGCCCTTGGTACCTTCGAAGAATGTCGCGATGGAGCATAATCCCAAGGCCCAACTCTGCTGACATTTGGCAACTTAATATTTTCTTGACACATCTTCATAATAAACCTCCATGATCATCCTGTGTCCTCTGAGAAACATTTATCAAAATGACTCCTTTGGGACTCAAACAAACAGCTGATATCACCTTCTAAGCTGTCCTCTGCCTTGAATTTGGCCTGGCAGTTCCCCCCGGAATGTCAGTTTTGACTGGATTTTTTGGCAAGCACCCTAACGAGACCAAGGTGTTACTGAGAGGACTTGTCTCTAGTTATGTACTGATCACAAAGACTTTGGTTTAAAATAGACCCGTAATATATGAACTGGAATATTTTTTTATTTACCTTGGTACATTACACACATGTACGCCACACACACACATACACATAAACAACATACTCTATTCACAAACAGCACATTCCGCAAGTCATTAAATACACACACCACACACATACTCCACCAACACATACCCAAACACCCCACACTAAATATTACTACATACACACACACACACACACATCTCATATCCACATCACATGCACTAAACATGCACAGTGGCAAATTACCAATAGTTTCAGAGTTTCCAGACACCCTGAGCCCCACCCCTAGACTCCAGAACCCTAAGACATTCCAACTTCTTTTCTCTGAGTCACTTGGATTCTCCAAACTTCCCTCCTCTCTGGGTGGGACCCCCCTCAGTTAGCTCTGGCAGTAACGAGCCAAGTGGACCGGAGAAGCGCAAAACATCTTTCCAGGGCAGAGACTGGACTATCAGCCTGGACAAGACTGACTGGGAGGCAAAAGCACCAGGCACGGAAGCCTCCGCTTGCCTCCCAGCGTCCACATTTTCTAGCTCTATGTAAGCCAATGAACTCCTCTGAGCCTCGGGTCCTCCTCCACAAAGTGGGCACAGAAAACGTTTCTCTATCAGTTGTCATGAAGATGAAATTGGCCACTGCATTTAGCTCAGCCCAGAGGTGAAAGAAGCCTCACTGTGTTCGCCCTCCTGATGGGCCAGAATCCCACAGGGCAGCCTTCATGCAGGAGGCAGCTGCTGGAGAAACTCAGAAAGTTCTGGCTCCAAAAGCTCCCTGGTGCATCCACACTGAGTCATAAGCTATTGCAGCTCAGAGGCCAAGTTTGAGGAGCCTAGCCTCCCACCCATCCATGCGGAGGTGGGAGCCCGGCCCCCTCCCCTTCCCCCTCCTCACCTCTGCCGTCATCTTGGCAATGAGCCCGGCGGAGATGGCCCCACTGAGCACATTCCGCCTCAGGCTGGGGTTCCTGGGATCCTTCAGGTTGCTGATCCGGCTACGCACACGGTTCCGGTACTTCATGTCCGTGCTCTTGAGCTCTTGATAGATATGTGACATGGTCAAGGCCCAGTCAGTCTGTCAGGGAAGGCTGATGCCCGAGGAAATGCCAGGGCTGCCTCTTTCCCTCCTAGGACTTCCACAGGCACAGGCACAGGCACAGGCACAGGCTCCTCCATGCCCTCACATTCCCCAATGAAGGGTCTCAACCTAGCAGGCCTTTGGGGGTAGGGCAGCGCCCGTGGTGAGGATTGTGGCGTCAGGCTCCAGACACTCTCCTAGGTTGATCTGAGCCTCCTGTGTGACCTCAGGTAAGTGCCACCACCTCTCTGTGCTTCAGTTTCCCAATTTACAAAATAACTCATAAAATAGAGACCGCTTATCTCCCAGAGTTATCACGAGGCTTAAAAGCTGGCCTGGGACACACCAAACGCTCAACACGAAGGGCCCGCTACAAGTGGGAATGGGCTCGGTGACAGTGGGTTTGGGGCCACGACGAGGCGGTGCACTCACTACGTGCACCCAGCCTCTGTTTAAGGCTCGAAATACAGGTATCCTCCGCATTTCAAAAGTTAGCCTCACTCCATTTTGCTTTGACGTAAGTTCCACATTAGTACCTATTATCACTAATGAAAGAAATCCGAAGAAGATTTGCATGTTTACCTCGCCCAAAGCCAAAAGGAAAACTAACCCTCAGCATGTGTTGTAGCAAGAGTGGCATTCCCCAATTCCCTCCCCCTCCTCCCACTGCAGTGCTTTCCCTGGGCGTGGCTCTCTGGACATTCCTGTTCTCATCCTATGTTATCTGATGTGGTCTGCTAGCTTAGTGTGGGGGTCTGAGAATGCTAAAAAAAAAAAAAAAGGCTTCTTCCTTTTATGCCACTTGCCTTAAGAAAGCGTTCATACTCTTGGATAGGGGGACACACCTGTATATCTGGTCACAGAGTCACCAGCACGAAACCCCTGCCCCCCAGGAATCCCTACGGCCATCCTGTATAGGAATCCGCTTTGGGGCTGGCTGGTCTGAGTTGCACCCCTCATGTACAGAGGCAGCTGAGGCTGATGCCGAGAAAGGGTGCAGGCCTCCCTCAAGGTCACAGTGAGTTCCCGGCAGATGCAGGGCTGGAGTCCAGCCCCCTCCTGTCTTCGAGGCTTCTTCCACTCCCGCAGCAGGAAGGTTCTGCGGGCCACTGACCCACCTCACCTCCCTCCCCACTGGGCTGGCTTCTTCGGGCCTCCAGCCACTCCACCCTTCTCCACCCTGTGGGAGCTCGGGGAACACAGCCCTGCTCTCTTGGGGAGACTGAGCCAAGCAGGAAGAGAAAACCAGCAGCCGACTGACTAGAAGTGGAGGGTCAGGGCGGGACGCGGCTCTCCTCTGTTCTGCACTGTCGGGTCAGTGCTGTCGAGACCAAAAAACAAAGCAGAGGAGGAGCCTATTCCACAACACATCTGAGGGCCAGAAACTGGTTCTAAGTCTGCCGGTGGGGACTGGCTTGCTCTGTGCACCCTGCAGGGCCGGCAATGCCTTTGCCTGCCTCCTCCGGTCTCCTTGTCCCTCTCCTGAGCCCGTAGGAAGAGCAGACTCAGGGCTCACCCGGGGGGAGAGCCTGCATGCATCCCAAAGGGAGCACAGAGTATCCAAGCCCTAGACTTCCCCTCACCCCACCCCAATGTCTCCCCATTTAAGTCAGAACAAGGAGCTACAGGGCTTGAATCTCTTCTCCCACAGAGAGGGGGCGCTGGGAGGAAGCAGAGGATGGGGGTGAGGTGGGGGTGGGGAGGCAGGCAGCTCAACTATGATCCGGATCATCCAGTTTTGGGCTCGGAAGGGACCAGAAAACAAAGAGGAAACTCGAGACCGTTCGGATCTCTTGGGCTGAATGTTCCCCAATTAATAAGAAATTATGAAAATGGACTTGTTGGCTCAAGTCATGCCAGTTAATAATTAAATGATGCTGATGGGAAGAAGCTACCCGAAGATGTATTGGAGGATAAAAGGCGGAGCCTGAAGCAGGGAAGTGTGCTGTCCACAGATTGGTCCCAGCCCCTTGTCCTGCTGCAGGCCCAGGCCGGAGCCCAGGAAGCTCCCAGGGGTCTCTTTCATTGCAGTGTGCTACAAGGAAGGGCACTTCGACCTCTGACCTCTGTGCTCCCGCCCCTCCACACCTCCTGGTCTTTGCCTTGCAAAACTTCGTCTCCACTAGGGGGAGGAACTTGTTTCCCCAGTGACAAAAATCTTTTGTTCCAGCACATCCTCATCTCTCTGGTGGGCACCTCCTCTCTGGACACAAGATCCCTTTCAGAGACTTCGGCCAAGCAGGGCTTGCTGAAAAGCACCCAGGACCTAGAATCTGAAGACCAAGGTTTGGGAAGTCCTTCCCCTCTGCACTCCCAAAAGACCTGTCAAACTCGGACACTCACGCGTTCTGGAGCCTCAGTTTCCTCCTCTGTAAAATGGGAACAGAGACTGCCGAGGATTAATGGGGTGGGAGGTGTCAACTGCCCAGCAGAGTGCCTGGTTTCTAGTGAAGACTTCAGAGACTAGAGGAGGGAAAGGCTGAGCATGAGAGACGCTGGCCACTTGGCCTATTCTGACCTGGGAGCCGGTGATTTGACCGACCAAGGACACAGCTTGCCCGGCACAGCCGTGGAGTCAGACTTTCTTAGTTCAGAGCCACTGCGATGAGCTACCTGAGCTTTGGCAAGTGAAGCAACCTCTCTGAGCCGCAGTCATCCTATCTGTATGATGGACGCTACGTTGTGGGGTTGTTCTCAGTACGGAGTGAGGTACCGCTCCTGCCGAGGGTAGCAGGGGGCTGTCAGGTGAAAAGCGCCATGCTTGTCCGTGAGAATAAGGAGCTCAGGAGTCCTGCCCTCCTCTCGCATGGCCCTGGGTCTCTGACACTGCTGGGCCAGTCACTAGACCGCCTGGCGCCACAGCCCGGCTCAAGGATATGATCTTCAATCTCTGATGCCATCTTGTCGCAGTTGATGCCGTAGTCCTTATACTCATCTGGAACAGATTCAGAACACACAGGCATCAGCCAGCAGGGCCTTCCCTTCAAAGTGCAGCCCTCCTGTCGTACTCCCAGGTGCGGACAAAGACTGTGACCCCCACCCCCACCCCATTTTAGGAAGCCCCTCCCTTTCCTTCCCTCCAACCCAGACCCTCTCACCATCTGCCTTCAGGGCTGCCGACAGCATCTCCACACATTTGTCCCGGACAGAGTCCCCCGTGAGGTAGCAGGGGGGCAGGAGGCACGCGGAAGGGGCAAAGGTGGGGGTCACGGGGCTGCTGGGTGTTTTGGGAGTCTCCGCTCTCGATTTGTTGCTGTTTGATCTGAGGGTGACAAGCAGGGCGCATGCAGACATGACGTGAAGCAGGCGGTTGCTGAGGTTGGCCGTGCTTTGTAGAAGAGACCGTGAAAGCCCTGGGAGGGGGGTGCTACGTTAGGTGCTTGGCCTGGGCCCTCTCATTTAATCCTTCTAACAATCCCATGAGGCCGGCACTATTTTTATCCCCATTTCAGAGATGGATTCTAGAGTATGTTTTAGAGATTAAAACAACAAAACAAAACAGATGCAAATGGGTCAATACTGACTCACAGCGACCCACGTGTTGTAAAGAAGTGATGTGGCTCAGAGGGTTTTCAAGGCTCTGACCTTGTGGAAGCAGATCGCATGGCTCTCTCCCACAGTGCCGCTGTAACCCACCAGCCCCTGGGTTTGGAGCCAAACACGTTATCTACCATTGGTGCCACCCAAGGACTGTATCAGTTAGATGAACCCCAAGCCAAACCCACTGCTAACGAGTCAATACAGGCTTTCGGAGGCTGTAAAGCCTAATGGGAGCAGACAGCCTCATCTTTCACCTACAGAGCATCTGGTGGGCTCGACCGGCCAGCCTCAAGGTTAGCAGTCCAAAGCTTGCCCAATAATGCCAAACGGAGACCAGGACAACCAGGATGCAAAGACAGGCAGTGGAATTCCTGCCCCCCCTCGTAACTAATCGTTGTGAGCTGCTGGTGACAGGGCAAGAACTGTGCGATCATCGTTCTACACCGTGCTAGCTGCTCTGTCGCCACGCCCTCATTTCGGCATTTAGTCACTCGTGCATGAATATTCATAAGCACCCATTCTCCGGACACCGAAGGGAGACACACAAGGCTAAAGCAGACAACGGGCAACATTGACTAAAAACCTTCGGGGGCAGTGAGTTTACG